ATATATATATATATATATGCGTGAATACCAGGATCACTTCTAAGAAGTTGCGAAAGTATTTGGATGTGTTTTGTATTAGAATTTATTGGAATTAGAAATTCTTTGATGCAAATTCATAGGATACATTTGAAAGGATTTTTGAAAAGAGTTATAGAGGTAAAAAAATGTTAGTTGAGATTTATATCCGCGTTCTCGCAATCTCTTTTTAATGCGAAATCATAATTCACAATAAACGAGTCTTAATTATCGTATTTGTATAGCAATTTTTATATTTCTTTTGGCCTCTAGAATAGATCCTACAAAGATATCCTATTAAGAGCCGAGTGATTGCTATATAACCAAACAGTTTTATCCCTTTAAAATGAAACTCAGTTAAAGTATGAAGTGACATATACACGTATTATAGTGGATAAATTGAAATTTTATTAGAAGTAAACTCAAATTCTATCTAACTTAATAACTATCTAACGTAACTAACATGCTTGGGAAGATAGTCCCTCCCAATTCGCATTCCCACGCCAGTTTATCTCAAAATCGCTTAATTCTCGTAATCGTGTTGATCCTCTCAGTGTCGAGAGAAACTCCTTTCGAACTTCGATAGTTCGCTGGAAATCCGGGAAAACGAGTTCTGGCATTCGAATTGCTAAAAAAAAAAAGAAAGAAAGAAAACAAAAGGATTGAAAGAGGGGGGAAAAGAATAGCTACGAGCGGATTACGCATGCGCGTAGAGGAAAAAATAGGAAGAGAAAATGGCGGGATCGGAGATAGTTTATGAAGGAAGGAACAAGAGAGAGGTTGAAACGTTGAATGCTCTTTTGATTCACCACCAGTTGGTTAACCAGGGACTAACAAGAGCTGAGAATCGCTGTCCCTGTAAAATCGTGTCAGATCGTCAATTTCAATTGATTTCGCTTGCTAGGAACTTCGGTTACGGACATTGGTAACGTTCTAGTGACTTTTAAGAATCTGTAGATGTTGTAAAAGGATCTCACTGAGTTTAATCTTAATTCTGATTCTTTATGATTGCATTTGAAATTTATAATTCTTATAGTTATATTATATAATGGTGTATTAACTAAAAAATGGTTGTGTATAATATTTGAACATTGCATATATATATGTAACACTAAAATATTTCTTGTACAAAGAAAAAAGCTTGCAGATATAAGGAAATATCACTGAATGGCAAACTATATGTAAATTTGAATAAAATTTCAATGCAAATGAGGAAATGCACGAACAAGAATAAACACGGCAAGGAAAATAAACAGCCTCGATACATACGAAATTCGATTACGTTGCAGAATTTATATCATCCTTATCAATTTTTTCTTTTCCTAGCGAAATCAAGAAATTAATAATCCTTGATTCTTCTTCGATAAATTCAAACTTTATCCAATAGCTTTATCCCTATAAATATTATATCATAAAAGATCTAAAAGATCTAAGATGATTAATCGAATCGCTTAACTTCCACGAT